CAGACCCACAGACAACACAGACACCATACACACATGACACACAGACACCAGACACACGGACACACGTCACACATAGACAGGACACATCGGACACACTGACACACGGTGCACACGGACACACAGACACACAGACCCAGACACACCGACACACAACACACAGCACAAAAACACCAAGACACACAGACACACAGGACACACCGACAAGACACCCAGACCACAGACACACAGACACCAGACACACAGACCACAGACACACAGACACACAGACCCACAGGCACACAGAGACACAGACACACAGACACACAGACACACAGACACACAGACACACAGACACACAGACACACAGACACACAGACACACAGACACACAGACACACAGACACACAGACACACAGACACACAGACACACAGACACACAGACACACAGACTCACAGACACACAGACACACAGACTCACAGACACACAGACACACAGACACACAGACACACAGACACACAGACACACAGACACACAGACACACAGACACACCGACACACCGACACACAGACACACAGACACACAGACACACAGACACACAGACACACAGACACACAGACACACAGACACACAGACACCAGACACACAGACACACAGACACACAGCCACACAGACACACAGACACAGACACACAGACACACGAACACAGACACACAGACACACAGACACACAGACACACAGACACACAGACACACAGACAACCCAGACACACAGACACACGACCACACAGTCACACGGACACACGGACACACGTAACACAAGGGCGGACACACGGACACACGGACACACGACACACGACACAGGGCATACACAAATACACACAGACACACAGACACCAGACATCACAGACACACAGACCACATACAACAGACACACAGACACATCAGACACACAGACAACACAGACACACAGAAACACACAGACACACGACACACAGACACCAGAACACACCCACACACACCCACACACACCCACACACACCCACACACACCCAGACACACACAGACACACACAGACACAACAGACACACACAGACACACAGACACACAGACACACAGACACACAGACACACAGACACACACAGACACACACAGACACACACAGACACACACAGACACACACAGACACACAGACACACAGACACGCAGACACACACAGACACACACAGACACTCACAGACATGAAGAGGCCCACAAACACACAAATAAATACACACAAATAAAACTATTCCCCATATTTTCCCATATTTTCTGAGTTTCTGTCTTCCCCACCACTTCCCATATTTTCCCATATTTTCCTGGGGGTCGACGATTAATTGTGTCTGTGTGTTTCTTCCCCTCCTGAAGACACACAGACACACAGACACACAGACACACAGACACACAGACACACAGACACACAGACACACAGACACACAGACACACAGACACACAGGCACACAACACACAGACACACAGAAAGCACAGACACACAGACACACAGACACACACACACACACACGACACACACACACGACCACACACACACACGAGACAGACCACCACACACAGACCAGACACACACCCCACACACAAACAGACACAGACACACAGACACACAGACACTCAGACACACAGACACACAGACACACAGACACACAGACACACAGGCACACAGACACACAGACACACAGACACACAGACACACAGACACACAGACACACACACACACACACAGACACACACACACAGACACACACACACACAGACAGACACACACACACACAGACAGACACACACACACACACAAACAGACACACACACACACACACACACGCCAACCTCCAATTAAACTGCGGTGCTGCGGCGTGGCGCACCCTGACGCACCGTGGGCCGAAGAAGCCCGAGGCGCAAGCGCGTGGTCGGGTTGCCTCGACCCCTGCCGTGCTGCGCCTTGCCGCAAGTGCCGCGCCGTGACATGCCGCGCCGTGCCGCTCTGCAACCTCTTCCTCCGCTGCGCGGTGCTTTGCCGTCCCGCCCGCCTCCAGAGGACGGAACAGAACACTGAAGGGGCCCTGGGACACACAAACAAGTAGACACTAATAACAGGATTCCCTACATTTCCCAATCTTTTCTGGGTTTTTGTCTTCCCCGTGTTTTTCCCCCTCCTGAAACATGCGCAGGTGCAGCTTCGCACCTGCGCCGCGCAGAGTTCACTCGCGCACTGTCTGCTTGCAACGTCGGGCCACCAGGCGCCTCAGGTCCTGTGGCCCGCGGCGCACGGAACATGCACCGGGGCACAAGTGATGACACAAACAATAACTTTCGGAGGTCCGCGCGGAGCTCCGAGAACGAAAGTTCATGCCGCTGCTCGTTCGCCGAGTGCACCCTGGCCGCCCACGTCCTACACTGTGCAGGTGGCGAGAAAGAAACCGTCATCCTGTCGGGCTCGCCAGCCGGTCGGCGCGGGGCACCGCCACATAGGACTGCGCCTCGACGCTCCTCCAGGGCCAGCGCCTGCCGCCACCCGCGGCGTCTGGCGCCGCGCGCTGCGCCCGGAGGCGAGAAAGGGAGCGGCCGCAGGGCCAGCCGACGCGGACAGCACGACCGGGCCGACGCAGAGGGCGCCGGGGACTCCGCTGGGCCAAGGGCTCTGGTCCGGGCGACGCTCGCCTTTGGCGGGCCAGCCCGCCCCGCTGTACTCCGGGAGGGTCTCGATGCAGGCGCTGTCTGTGCTGAGCCTGGCGTGCACCAGCGCGTCGCCAAGGGAGCAGCACCACCGCAGCTTGTTGAGAGACCATGTGTCCGCCCAATCCTTCAGTTCGATGTCGCAATCGAAAAGCGCCGCCGCCTCCCTGGAGTCGGCGGTTGTCCTGGAGGCCGAGGGCCAGCTTGTCCGCACTGTGACCGCGCGCTTGCTGGTTGCAATGCTGGTCGCGCCAGTGCGGGTCGTGGTGGTGCTAGTGAGCTACTTGGCCGCGAGGATCCCCTCGCACCGCAGGCTACTGTTAGGTCGGGCGTCCCCCTACAGCAGGGTTTAGGACGAAAATTAAGAATGGCAAAGAAATGCTCAAACATCTGCAGAACTAGTTAAAAAATCGTGCCCAAACTTTTTTTAAACTATTTTTGAATGCTCCTCCTGTAGAGGGACAGGCCCGACGTAAGGCTACTGCGACGGCAGCATCAACCCTCGAGGACCTCCGATCGATCTGGCGGTGACGTGCCGCTAATGGACCTGTACTCCTCCAGCGACGCGGGCAGCACCATGCCCATGGCCTCGCGAGAACAGCCTGGACTTGGGAGCTGCCTGCAGCAGAACTTCCTGCCGCAGGCGTCATCCAAGGGGCCCACGGACACACAAAGAAATACACACAAACGACAGGACTCCCTTTGTTCTCCTATGTCTTCGGGGTTTTAGTCTTCCCCCTCAACCCCCATATTTTCACATATTTTCCTGGGAGTCGACGATTGATTGTGTCTGTGTTTTTTCTCCTCCTGAGTCATGAAGCTCGCCTCCCAGTGCAACCCGTGGGCGCAGCTGTCCAGCACCTCCGTCCAGCTCAGGCAGCCGATGCTCCGGTGCTCGCAACACCACTGCTGGCGCCCTGAACGTTGTCCAGGGCGGGCGCCGGCCCCGTCGCTGGCGTCCGCCTCGACCGAGGCAGAGGTGGCTGTCGTGGTGGCGGTCGTGGCTGTTGCCGCCGCCTCCCGGCAGGCGTCAGCGGACGTGTAGCTCGAGCACTTGGGGCAATGCGTGACGACCAGCGAATGCGCTTCTGCGCAGGCGACATAACGCTCTCGAGACGCGAACGATGGTGCTGCCCAACCCACATGGCCAGATTGCTGCACGTAGCCGTTATGCTTGCCCGCTCGCACTTGACTCGGCAGCCGGGCGACCTGCTCGAGGCCGAGCCGAGGTGATGGTGGTCGGTCATTGTGGTCGTGGTTGTGCTCGTAGAAGCGGCGGTGCTCGCATGTCTGCCCGCGGCGCCCCTTGTCGTTCAGCAGCCGACGTCGCGGCTCACGCGGGCGGCCGGCGTGGGACGCTGCTCTGGAGACGAGGGCGCTTATGCGCGACCTTGCGCGAGCAAATTACGCGCGAACGTCGGCGCAGTCGGATCTGTTGTTGGTTGCGCCCCTCACGTGGCTTGGTCGCCGTGCAGTGCGGTGGCCTTGGTGTCGTGCACGAGAAACCGATATTCCGCCCCGTCTCATGCATCCCACGCGGGTGCTCTGCTGGGATGGCGGGCGGTCCCTGGGCCCTTTCCACAAGATGGCCTTACAAAGACAGGGCGGCCAATTCAATCACAGTCTTTCGAGGTTGTCATCGGATGCACCGCCGAACATCTTGTCAGCTACGCCAGCACAACTGAACTGCAACGCGGATAGCACACCTGCGCGGGCATCAGGCTCATGTCGAGCGGGAGCAAACGCATGGGACAGCGACGCGCGGGGGCACGATGGCTGCCAGAGAAAGATGGGAAAGCCTCCATGAGCGAAGCAAGTGCTATTCTGACTAGACCCCCATCCACACACTAGAGTGTGTACACAAATCTCTCTCCCTCTCTTTCTCTTGTATATATAGATATCTCCCACACCCTCTCTCTCATACTCCCTCTATTTCACCGCGTACACATAATGAAAGTGAAGGTGATCAAGTTTTTTCCTCGTATCAAAGACAGCAGAGCAATTTCGCTTCCTCGGGTCTCTTGGAAGATGATGTCGCCTTCCGGGTCGGCACAGCGCATTATTAAATCAATTCGCACACACATCGAGGATGCCTGTTCGCACTCGCATCGAGCAAGTGGTCTCCAGGCTGTGTTCAATTCTTGGGCCCGTTGTGAATGTATACAAATGCGTCGCCAAACCCACGGTGGAACCTATTGAACCCCTTGGGGCTCAGCCTGGATCCACTTGGGACCGGAACTGGTGCCTCTGAGGCTGCCTCTTGGGGCCTCTTGGTACGTTCCTGGGGCCCTCTCACGCCTGGGTCTGACCTCACGACGATTCTGTCGGAAGATCTTCTCTAGGCCTCAAGGCTATGAACAATCTAAAAAGTCATCCACGGAGCGGCCCCCTGAAACCATCCTGGGAACAAATTGTAGGCCATCATGGGCTATCTTGAGCTCTTTGAACTCTACTCGGGGCGTTCGGGGGCTGTCTTGTCGCCTCCAAGATACTGCGAACAATGCGGAGAAAACGTCCAAAACTCCGTGCCCACAATGGAACCTCTTTACATGGCCTTCGGGCGGCGGCGTCTGCCGCCTAACCGAGGAGCCCTCTCGAGGAAGAACGCTGCCAAAATTAGCAGGTCCCCGCGCCGCAGGAAACCCCAGCAGGCCAACCACACATCACAGGCGTGCAGGGCCAACAAAAACTTCAAGGTGGTGCGAGCCGCGCACAACGCTGGAGGCCAAGGGATCCTACGATAGGGACGAAGTGCCCTACGCAAAAAGTTGACCGAATATACGAGTGCACCAGCCAGCCTTGCTGCCAGCATGTGCCCATCCCTCCGTCCATACATGCACACATTATATCATGCATTCGTCTCGCGCGATACTTCGTACATGGCTCCTGGCTGCCTCTGGAGGCCCCACGAATGGTTCCAACAAGTCGCAGAACCTGGCTTGAGATATATTCGGAAGGCTCTTCAAAACTCCCCGAAGGTCCTAACTACCAATATCGCCCAATCATTTGAACATCTCGACCTTGATGCCCTTAACTTCGTCCAAGTGCGCCCGCCAACTGATTGGGCGGCATCCTGTGCCGCCTCGGACACGTCTTGGTACGCCAGGGGGAATTGGAAACAATTTTGAGATACGCTTGGGCCCGCCCAGGCACGTCGTGGAGCGCGCGCGCGGGCACGGACATGACCACCCTTCGGGTGATAAAAGGGGGTTTTGGAGGGGGGGGGGGGAAGCGGTCGATTTGCAATGCATCCCGCCTGCCGCCAACACAAAAAACACGACACATATTACATACCACCTGCTCCCGCTTGCTTCTATCGGCCTAATATATTTACCTATCTATGCATATGTGAATCTATCTATCTACCGAGCCGATCTCTCAAACAATGCATGTATTTATCTAGCTTATATATCTATCTACCGCGGGGATGGTCGGCGCAAGAACGTGGCGCGCATTCGTTCGCGCGCTACTCGGTGGCGGCAGGCGCCGTAGATCGCATTCATCTGCTTCTACCCGCGCTGTTTCACAGGTGGCGGTAACAAATGGCTTTTATTTGCATGCCCCACACTGTGTAGCAGCAAACGGAAGTGTGTGATATTTGTTTGCCTGTTGCAAAGCAAAGTGCGTGGCGGTTCTTTGCCCACCCGCATTTTTTTTTGGGGGGGGGGGCTGCCGCGTGGCTGCGCGCGCCTGCCTATCTACCCAACGGCCCATATATCTATATATCTGTATGTACACATACGTATACCTATATTGTTGCGTATGTATCTGCCCACCTACCTATGCATCTATGTTCATAAGTGGGGAAGCTCCTGAAGAGGGCCAAAAAGAGCCACCTCCAATTACTATGAACGGGATGCAAACCAGCGCCCCTATTATTGTAGAGCAGATGCGAACCAACGCCCTCCTATTTTGAGGATAATATCACAACCTATCATTGTGTTGCTCCTGTGCGAGATGCCTGTGTATTTGATACTTTCTGCTTTAATGCAACTCAGCGCAGAAGCGCGCGTTCCTCTATCACAAACGCTCAAATATAAAGCAACATCACGAACAACGCGAGAATCGCATGACATATCCCACGCGCATGCAACGAAGAAAAGAGATCGCGCGCCTTGCTCAATGTAATCACGTGCGGGGTCTAACGGAAATATATTCCTCGCTTCCTCCACCTCGCGTGCTTCCCCCCTCCTCTGTCTTCTCCTGCCCTCCTCCCTCCTTCCCATCTTCTCGTCCCCCTCTATCCGGGACGGCTTTCCTCCTCTTCCATTATCCCTCGACTTCCCTTCCGGGGCCTCTCCTCCCCCTCCTCTCCTTCTCCGCCGCCCCCCCCCTCCGAGCGCGGGGGGTCGGCGCGAGCGGGAGCTGGCTGGCCTCGCACCCCCCCCCCCCTGTCGCGAAGAGGAGGAGGCGGGGGGGAGGCCCTGGGCGTTGGCGCTGGCCCTGGACTAGGGGCGCTGGCCCTGGGCGGGCCTCCGGCCCCCGGCCCCGCCCCAGGAGACATGGAGGAATACGGCGCCGCGAGCCCGGCCGGACGTTGGCCCCGTTCACGGTGGCCTCTGGGCCGGGCCCAGTTAGGGCGAGGAATCCCAGCGCGCGCAGGGCGTTGGCCCCCGGGCCCGCCCTGGCGCCGCTCTGGCGGTCCGCTGCCCACGATTTCCAGCCCCGCTGCAACTGGGGCCAAAGCCCAAGGGCCGCTCGCTGAAGCACTCAGAAATAGAAACTGGAAGAACGATGCAAATAGGCGAACTCAGCGGGCGCCCTCCGCGCAAGAAGCCGACAAATAAAGCCCCCCCGGGCGGTTGCATTATTTTGTATATCTGTATAGCACAAATACAAAAAAAAAAGCGGAATCGATTGCTTGCGTGTGCCATCTTTTTTTGCATGTTGCTTGTTTTGTGTAGAATATTCAGACATGCAACTTCTCCCAGGGCGACCTCGCCGTTCTCGTGGCCCGATCAGCGCGACCCTGGGCGGGCTCCGAGCTCCGCGGTAAAGCCTGCGCGCTTGGGGCCCAGAGCGTCAGGGCCTCGTCGCCGCGTCGTCTTGGGCCTGAATCCTGATTCCCTCGGCTTGAAGCCACGCGCCTGAAGCGCAAGCTCTGGCTCCCGAACTTCGGCCCTCGTTCCTCGATTTGGGCCCGCCCGACGTCCGAGCCCCAAGCAGGCTCGCCCGGCGCCGCGGGCCCAGGCCTGAACTTCAGCAGCAAGCGAGAGGCCCGGGACCCCTGGGGCGTCAAGCAGCAAGCAAGAAACACCCGGCCCCATGCCCGAAGCCCAAGCCTCGAACTCTGCGCCTCTACTCCCAGCCCAGAGGCCACGTGCAGTGGGCCCCGGGCTGAAGTCCTGCCGCCCAATACCTAAAGGGCCCAGAACGCAAGGCCGAAGGCCGACCGAAAGCTCAAGCGCCATGGGCGCTCGCCGGCAGGAGGGGCCTTTCGGGCGCGGGGGAAATAAAGCGAACTCCTCCTCCCTCCTTCTCTCCTGCACCATGTTTCGGTGTTCCTCTTCTCCCTCCCTCCAACCCCCTGCCCTTCTCCTTTCCCTTTCCTTCTTATCCTTGCCTCCCCCTTCCCCGCCCCTTCCCTTCTTCCTCCCCATCCCTCTTGTCCCGCCATCCCTTGCCTTTCCCTGGCGAGCCTCGTCGGCCTCGCCGCCGGGGGCAAGAGCGCAAGCAGCGGGGGCAGGGGCAAGTGGAGCGCGGGCGGCAAATTCTCCGGGCGACGCAGGAGGAGAGGAAGGAACCGCAGCTCCTTCGAGCGAGCAAGGGGGAGAAGAGAAAAATCACCGTTCCTCCCCAGGGGAACCGCCCAGTTGCATCATTATACGAGTTTTACACGCGCATGTGTTTCTATAGTTTCTATATGTTTAGGGCAGCTGCTGGGGGCGATCTTCTCAGGTGCTGCCCACTTATCAATCTATGTATATAGCTGGTTTCCAATTTTTTTAAACAAACGTATATTTATCCATGTATATGTCTATTCACCTCTCTACATATCATTATATTTGAACATGTTGGTGGTCATGATAAGTGGTGGTGATGGCGGTGGTGATGGCAGGGTGGTGAGATGATGGTGGTGGACACATGCAGTGGCGGTTTCTGTTCATGCCACTGCACCAAAGCGCGACGCCAACTTCACTTAATTAGTCGCGCGTGCTCTAGCGGCTGCGCACTCGGAAAACAAAACCCCCACTGCGGTCCGACGTGAGTTCGGAGCACTAGAAGTGCTTGGTGCCGCGAAGCGGGCGGCCGACTGCATCGCCGTCGTCGCCCTCGTCGTCGTCGTGCTCATCGTCGACGTCGCCATGATCGCCACCATCGCCAGCAGTCCCAACATCGTCAACCCCGTCGTCTTCGTCGTCGTCCTCGCCGTCGTCGTCGCCAGGGCCTGGTGGCGCAACCGTAATGCCACTAGGGCGCTTCCTCTAGCGTGCCGCGAAAAGGCGCTTAATGGCGCCAGATCTGGCCACTGTCGGTTGTATCGCAGCGCCTGTGGCTTCCGCCCTGGAGCTCCTGCTAGTCTGGGCCGCTTCCCAGCGCTGCCGAGTGCCGCCCGCCGACGGGGGCGCCCCGGCCCCGCGCGCCCGGCGTCGCGAGCGCGACCGCGCGCGAGGGCTTCGCCCGCGCAGGAAAGCGCTGCCCCCCCCCCGGGCGGCGAGACAACGCAGGGGCAGAACCCGCAAAGGCGCGCTGTCAGAGACTGGCGCGCCGCTGCTCCGCCCTGCGTAGTCGCGGCGCGCGTGCCCCTGACACCCTGCCCTTCCCTGGGAGATGCGCGACGCGGAGGTCGCGGCCGCGCGCGCGCCCCGCGAAAAAAAAAAAATTGCCGCGCGCGCGGCCGCACGACGACGCCATTGAACAAGAGGCCAACGCTCTCTGTCCTGCAGACGAGCTTGCCCGCAACTGGCGGGCCGAACGCGGCGCTCGCGAGCTCGGCGCCCCGCGTCAAGAAACGAGGCCTCGCGCACTTCGACAGCGCCCCGCCCCCCAGCAGAGCCCGGCGGAGAAAGCGCGCCTGCCGCGGCGGGCGCGCGCCCTGCAGAACGCGGGCATAGACGCAGCGAGCGGCCTCAGAGAAGTAAGCCGGCGCGCGTTCCACCTCGACGCCAATGGCAACCGCGTGCTCCTTCATGAGCTGATCTTTATTGAAGCCGAGGTGCGCCCGCAAATGCGCCGCCTGGAGCCCGCCCCCCGCTGCGCCGCCGGCGCCGCTGCCAGAGCCTGACGACCTGGAGGTCTTGGGCCACTTCAGGGCCGCGATTCGGAGTTCGCGGTAGAAGTGCCGCGTTTGCTTTTCCCGAGAAGTGCTTTCCAAGAGCCCGCTTGAGCTCCCCCAGAGCGACCGCCGCCCCCACGCGGCGCCGCTCGAAGGCCGCGGCCCCCAGGCAGCACGGGGCGCGCGCGCGCGGGTGCCCTGGGCGCGCCAGTTCGGCCGGGGATCTTCGGCGCAGACGCCAGACGCCGCGCCCTGGACCTGATCGCCCACGGGGAGTGCGATCTCGCGAACGTTGCAGTGATGGCCGAATTCGGGGCCCACTTCCCCCGCGGGCGCGCCGCCGTCGCAGCAGAGCCGCTGCTCGCTTCCCTGAAGGGCTGCGGCGCTAGCAGAGCCTGGCGCCACGGCGTGCAGCTCCCAGCCCGAGCGCCCGCGACCCAGCTCGGCGAGCTCGCCCGAATGCTTTTTCACCAGGCCCACAATCGACTTCGCGCGACCGACCCTCCGCGGAGTCGAGGTGCTGCTCGCCGTGCTTATTCGCGCAGGTCCCAGGAAGGTCTTCAAGCAACTTCGAGCACTGCCCCCGGAGGTGCGCAGCGCGCAGACTGGTCTCCGCCCTGCGTGAAATTCGCGACCCACTAACT